GGAAAAAAAACCTCCGACAGAACCAGGCTCAGGGAGTTATCCAAGACATTTTTACACCCATCTGCTGAGAAGGACCACGACAGTTGGAGATGTCTTGTTAATCACACAAGACACCATTTTGAATTTGCATATCATCCAACATGGCGGGGGATGCATACGTCACACTTTTTGTTCTCGTGGTTGCACACAAAGAATTAAATAACTTGGTTGACTTAATCTGACAAATTCAATGCATTAATTGTTTTACTTCCTGGTCCATCCTTCAGAGTTTATTGGCATCTATGGACGTCACACTGATCACTCTGGCTGTCCTCCAGCTGTTTGTCAGTGTTTGGTTTGCTGTTATGGGCATCAAGGCTCTGATCGGCGAGATGAAGAAGGTGTGGAGTCAATATGACACAACTGCACAATCGGCAAGAAATGTTCGCATCACAATGCTCAGATTGTCAGTACAGTGTAGCCATGATTAAGTGTCACTTCCCAGTTTCTGTTTGATGAAATGTTTCTGTGTCAGCAGGGCGACAGAGACATTGAGGAACAGCGACCGACATTTAAAGAAATCAGATCTGCTGATTAAAAGCTCTTCATCTGAGCATGTGGATGCATCAAACAGCAGCAGTCCTGCATCTACTCAGTCCAGCGGAAAGTTAACAAAACTCTATGTTGCATTCGTTTTCCTCTAAGTCTCTCTCTCTCTCTCTCTCTCTGTTTAGTTTTTGTTAGAACTGCTTTGCTTGAATAAAAAAAACTCTTAAGCTCTTCAAAGGTACATTGCTGTTGAATTTCCATGAGAAATCTAAGAGATCTGAAATTCTGGCTTTGAAATCGCAGCAGTAAGTAAAATGTGAGTTTTTGACAATAAAACTAATCTAGAATCTTTATGTTGGATTCAACTAGAACTGGTGAAAGCTTGCCAAAATACAACACATTACAGCAATGCACTCAGACCAAAAGCTACACAGATGTGATATGAGGTGCTTTTGTGTGTCTTGCAAATGTTTTGCATCATTTGGCGTCTCTTTGTGGTCAGTTTGTGTCTTTATGGTTGTTTTGGTTTTTTTTTTTTGTCCCATTTCAGTCGTTTTATTTCACATTTGAATTATGTTGTCTATTGCTTTGGTCAATTTGCATTTTTGCAGCAATTCAATGTCTCGTTCAGGTCATTTTGTGACACATTTGAGTTGCTCTGTATCTATTTTGTGGCACACTGAAGGCATCTTGTGTCTCAGTTTGGTTGTTGTACAACTCATTGTAGTCATTTTCTGTCCTTTTGAGGTCATTTAGGATTACATTGTGGTGGCTTTGCATCTCTTTGATGCAATTTTGACTCTGGTGACTCTTTGCATCACTTTTTGTGTGTCTATTTGTAGCCAATTTATGTTTTTTTAAGTCATCCTGTGTTGCAACTTAGTTGGTTTGCACTTCTTTGCTGAAACTTTGTCTCTTTGTGGTCATTTTGTCTCACACTTTTTGTCTCATTGTCTTTGATCTCTTGGAGGACATTATACTGGTGTTTTTTCATACATTTTGGTCAATTTGTATAACATTTTGCATCGTTTTGCATGTCTTTCTTGCCATTCATGTCTCTTTGTGGTTTTTCATAATTAGTTGAGGTCTTTCTGTGAAACATTTTGATAATTGTGCCTCTGTTTGTAGCCATTTGAGGTCATTTTTGTGTCACATTTTGATTGTTTTTCATATATCTGTTGCCACCAAGTGTCTTTGTGGGGATTATGTGTATCTTATTTTGGTTGTTTTGTTTCTCTTTTCTTTCACATCTAATTTTGCTCATTTTACATATTAGTTGCCATATTGTCTTAAAAAAACCCTCAGTGGTGTGCCGTCAGGGCCAGCAAGGCTTTCTCTGCTGGCCTAAACTCTAACAGAATCCCTTACTTACATTTTAAAATTTTTACCATTAGTCTTTAAACTTTATATCCAATAGTCTATTCGCTTCATTTTATAGTGTGTCTCTGGGCTGTGGTGCTTCCAGCAGTGTATGTTTATATTAGAGCTTTTATCCAATCATAATTCAGCGATCATGTGTTGCCAGGGTTACAGGAATTTTCCCTGAGGCCTTCAGAATCAAAAGTGCAGGCACCTGTAGCTTAAAATGTATTGTAATGAAACTGTTGCTTTAACCAATCAGACTGAGAGTTGGTGGTCCCAGGGCCAGCTAGCTGGCCAACGATGACGTCAGTATTTTCACACCCTCTGATTGGATGGTCAGAGAGCTCAGCCAAAGCTAGTGGTTCCTGTCTGTAGCAACCTGCACAAGCTAAAACTTTTTCGTAAAAGTATTAATAGCTGTTTTTTTTGTTTTTGTTTTTTTTTTGTCAAGTTAAGTGAGTGGACATTTTCAGCCCTAAAGCAAATTGAAACTTATGCCAGAAACATGCATTAGCCTCCATGGTGATAAAACAGGACTTATTGTTGGAAGTGAAACACACGGATTACCTGCTCAATAGAGTGATTGAACTGTTTATGATGAAAGAAGGGAGGATGGAGTTTGTCTTCAAATAATCACAGGTTTTGGTGAGTAAAAGGAATTATATCCAGTTGAATTTTATCCAGTTAATATTTGTAGGAGCCTAAATCTATTTCTTTTTTATTTTGCTAAATTTATCTGTTATTTGGTTGAATGTTGTTAATCATATTTTTGGGAGATTGAATTCTGTGTTAGTGTGGTGTTTTGGTTTATTGATTTCTTTTTGATATTTTGGCTCGCTATATTTGGGTCGTTTAAATTTGCAAGGGCTCTTGGGAAAAGGCTGATGGCATGGAGCCAAACAGCTTTTTGACCACACATTGTCTCCTTGTTTTTTCCACTGTATGTTTCCGTCTGTAAAGTTTGTCTGTGCACTAAAAAATCTTTTTTAAACCGCAACTTGGTCTCAGCTGGATTTTTTATCGTTGAAGTAGACCCAGCAAGGTGCATACGATGTGGATATTGGAAATGCTACAGGGGAACAGTGAGTCAAGCCGGGCTTCATGAGCTTTAGATCATACAATATTGATGCTCCTGTTAGATGTGATGTATGTGGTGCAGCTGTGGCTGCGGTTAATGGAGACTTGTTGAATTGTTTTAACTGGGTTTCTTGCTTCAGTGTTGGCATTCATTCTCGCTACATGAGATACCTGTCTGCGATGCAAAGTCCTGTTACACTGCCATTCTGCACAATATAGATGGTTTCTAAAGCTGTCGAGTTATAATGACGGTGTTAAGAGGTGGTTTGATTCATGTATGCTGCTGAAGGCCTAGGAGTAAAATGCACGGCCTACCACTGAAAACCCTGATGTTTTACTTTCTAAACTGTTGCACGTTCACACTTTTAATACGAAACAGAGACATGGACTGAGGGTTTGTTTGTTGTACTTGCCACAACAGATGGTTGCATGAGCTCATAAGAGTAAGGAAACATGACACGTCTGTCGGAGTCATTGCTGTGTATGAGTGTTTTTTCAAAATAAACATTCCTGTTTTAAGTTTGCTCAATTCATTTTAATAGACCTTTGTACTGATGCTTTTATTGTGAAGAACCACCAGGCGTGAACTCCTCTTACGGGAAGCTGATTGCTAGAGTTACGGGTAATCTGAAGAAGGAAACCCCAGCAGCAGGTATGTTCGCTGCAAACACACACATACACACACACATACACACAAAACACATTTTCATTTACTTCTAATGATAACTGCTGATTAATTTCTGTGCTTAGTGATGGATAGATGAGGCCTTATGAAGCGTTGTGGCACATTACCCAAACTGTATTGACACTGTGTCGGTACTGTCACTGTGTTGCTCAATACTGACACCTGCTGGATCTTAAAAATCCTTACAGGCAACCCAGTTGACAGGCTCAACTGACAGACTGATTGATTGACCTGGTGTATATACAATCATATAATTTAAGTTGTTGTGTTTTATATTGTATTATTTTAGATCTTAATTTAGTTTAAAATATATTTGTTGTATTTAAAATATACAGTCAATAAATAATGTGAACGTGTGGCATAACGTGAAAATGAAAGTGAAAGTGTTGTGGATGTGAAGATGTTTATGTACTTGTCTTTGAGGCAAGGGGGGGATTATATATATATATATAGCGTAGGTCTAGCTAGCCTCACTATTAGCCTCCGGTTTAGCATCATTACTCCACCAGTCCGTATGTCCCGCTAGTGTTTGTACTTCCGTTTGTCATCCTGTCCGTACGTCTGTTCTCCCCGTCCTGTATTTAGATCGCCAGTCGACGCTTAGCACTAGCTCGTTGTTAGCTTTTGGTCCGTTAGTTTTTGCAGTTCTTTTGACTTCTGTTTTTGCTTACCCCACCTGCCCGTGCGTAGAACAAGTGTTTCTCAGTTTGCCAGTCCTTCTTGTTTTCTAGTCAATCTCCTTATTTAACACCTTTTGGTGTCCTCTTTTAGTTTCTCTTGTTTAGTCTAGTTTTGTTTTTTCCGTGCCTTTGGTTTTTGTTTTATTCCGTCATTTTAGACATAGTTGCTTTTCCAGCAATCTCATTTAGTTCTGTATCGGTTTCTGTGTGAACAAATAAATAATTTATTGTTTAAACCGCCTGTCTGCCGTGTCATGTTGCCTCGCGCATGAGCCTTCGTACCTCCCCGTAACATCATTGAGATTGTTTTACTTTTTTTTTTATCATCTTTTGCATTTGTTGTCTCTTTCTATTTCTAGTTATTTCTATGTATTTGTGGTAATTTTGCACATTTTTATGGTTGTTTTATGTGTCTTTTAGGTTGTTTTGTGTCTATTTGTAGTAATTTTTTGTTTATTTGTGGCTGTTTGTCCTGGTTTTTGTGGTCATTTTGAATCCCATTAAGGTTTTTTTGTCTTGTTGAGATTATGTTGTAGTTTGTTTTTTCTTTGTCGTTGTTTGTTTCTGTTTATAGTAATTTCTCATTTCTTTGTGGTTCTTTTGTCTGTTGTTGTTTGATGCCTATATGTAGGTAATTCTTGTCTCTTTGTTGTCATTTTTCATCTCTTAAAGGTTGTTTTGTTGTGTATTTGTGAACATTTTGTGTCTTTTGCGGGGGGGGTTATTATTTTATTCTAATTAAGTTTGATGTTTAGTTAATGCCAATCTGTCTGTGGTGGGTTTTTTTTTCCATCTCTTTGAGGATGTTTTG